ACAGCTGTTGTGTTTTTTTTACAGACGGAAGGGAAGGGGTAGGCAAATAATTTCAGACATAGAGAGAAAGAAAAGAAATGACATAGGCTAGAATTATGAAATTTACAAAAATAGGCCTAAAATAATTTTTTTCAAAAAATATATTTGTTTCAAAAGAGAGGTTTAAAATCACTTTACACATTCTTCTAAAGTTTATCAGTTGTGTGTTTTTCTATTTTTTAAAAAGAGTCAGAGAAAATATAAATTAAAAACGTATAATCCCAAAAGTAACAAGTTTCTGTACCCTCATTTGGAGAATAATTTCAGATGCAAGAGTTTTTTTATGCAATGATCAAGGTTCCAGTAAAAGTAAATTTTACACATTCTCGGCTCCAGGGATAGTCAATAATCTTAGATTTTAGTTTGCTATAGACATATTTTTTATTTTTCAGTTTATGTAAGTTACAACAAAATTTCAATGAGGGGCTGAAATAAAAATGACACACCCAACGGGTCAACTAATTTTTAAAGATTTATTTGTTAATCTTAAAAAAACCTATCCTTTAAATAACAAATTGCAGACACCGTAGAAATCAAATCTTCTCTCATTATAAATGATGAACACTGAAGAATTGTATTACCCCTTGAATCTCGCATAATAAAATAAATTTATATTAACCCTCTTTTTCTGCTTGGGCTATTTTTGTCTAATATAGATTTGATTTTGATTAGAGTTGTAATAGGGCCGGATACAGAAAGAACCAGAAAACTCTGGAATAGATGATGGACGAGTTTCAGGTTCAAAATATGACTTTAAGTAGTCATATAGACATAAGACACAGTAATTGTGTAGTGTGAACCGATCCATTTCACTTTAGAACTTATTTAATAAGTTGCTTATAGTAACACTATTTGCTTAGTAAAAACATCAAATACATTCAGTATTGCTTTCATGTCGTCTTCCTATTTCAGTGTTTTCTACATAGAGAATAGAATATATAGAGAGGAATTAAAAGAATCTCTCGGTATGAATTTTTTCAGTCCATTTCAGCCTGAAAGGGAGTTCAAAGTGTTCAAATCATGAAAATGTTCACAAATTATATGCAGTAGAGTACATTAATACAGTATATGTTCCCTAGACTATCCATTTCAAAATCGAATTTTTTAAACTGTTAAATAAACTTTATAATGAATTAGGTGAATAAAAACATCATTTTATTTATAGTTATAACGGAAAATCATCGTTTGTAAAGTGGAAGGCATAGAGTCTATGTGAAATGATCATTGGTCAATTATGAAACCCGCCTAATTCATAATTCAAAAATAAATCAAAAATAGAAAAATCTATGGCTGAAACTTGCAGTACATCTGTAAACCTTTTCACTTAACTGAACGAGATCCCAAGGGAGTAAGTCCTATTTATACTCTTCTTATCTCATTGAGACCGAGCTGCAAAAATATCCCCCCACCACCACCACCACCGTCCCCTGGCCTGCGTAAATACGCAAGATCTCCGACGTTTCCTGTAGACAGGAAGTGTATCCATTTATTTCCTATTTAAGTCTTGAATAGGATCAATATGTATATTTTTAACTAGTATCCTCTTCATAATAGGATCGAAAACAAGATGTCTGTCTGAAATCGGAAATTTATTGTGAATCTGACACTCAACCTTAAGACGCCGATTCTTGTTAACTAAAATTGGTCCCCGCTGCTTCTTACGTGATTACAAAAACGAGTGTTCAATGTCTCTATTGTTTACTACTTTTTCACAATTTAATAAGTTTAAAAATGGTATTGAGATGTCAAAACGGCTAAACCGATCGGGCCCAAATTTTGTGCAAGACTTATAGATGATCAAAATTTCAAAAATGAGCCTCAAACAAAATTTGATTTTCATTAAATCTTGAAAATCCACGAAGTTTTTTTTTATAAAATCAGCGAGTTTTGTGTTATTGTATACAAAGAGAAAATGTTCACAATTGAAAAAGAAGATGCGCGAGCGAAGCGCCTTGAAAACCTTGTAATATTGTATTTTTGTTCTTCAATATCATCCTGAAAGCCTAGTAATATTAATACTTTTTGTTCTTCAAAATCATTTACCTGGAAATGCAGGAAATTGTTTATTTAAATGCAGGAAATTAAATTTCATTCTTTTATTTAACATCAAGCTTGGCTTCCAGGACGCTTCGCGCCCATATTTGAGTTTAACTTTTAACTGCGGCAATTTCTCTTCTCAAATTATCAAACAAAAATAATTTCCTCTATTTATCGATCAAATTTTACATCGATTTTTGCAGAGATGTTTTCTGAATTCGCCGTGGTAAGAGCTTTTAAAAAATGTGTAATTTTTCAAAATTCGCGCCAATTTTTGCTTTTGCACATTTTTTGCTTAATAACTTGAAATCGCAGTAGATATTTGAAAATTGAAATCTTCCAATATTATATCTTATATCTAACTCATCAGACTTCTAACTGCAAATTTTCTCTACCTTTGAAAAGGCGGGGGTGTGGGGGGGGCTTTTCCTGGGGTCCCCCTCTATTGCCTTTTTGTGATAAAATCCATAAAAACTCAACAGATTTTTGAAAAGCCCTTTGGCTCTATTTCAACATATGGAAAAATAAAATTGTGTGAAATATGACAAATTGTAAGTTTTTGATAAGCTTTTGGGCCTTGATACTGCAAATTTAAATATGCAAGAAAAACTGAATATGTGCAAAGTTTAGTCTATGGGTTAAAATTATCCAAAAATATATTTTATATCGCATTAGTCCTTTGTTATACATTGGTTCCATTCAATGAGGGAGGGGTTGCTGCTCCCAGGGTTTTGGAATTGCTCCTAGGGTTTTGGAGTGCTCCCAGGGTTTTGGAGTGCTCCCATGGTTTTGGGAGTTGCTCCCAGGATTTTGGAGTTACTCACATGTTTTGGAGTACAAATGTAAAAATTTATCCGACCTTTTAAGAAAAGTCCTTTAAAAAGAGTATACTTTAAAACCGAAAATTTAAAAAAGGGCTCTGCTACCCTTTCTGTACTGTCTTTGTTCAGATCTCAAATCGCAACATAAATACGGGAATGTAAAATCTCAAATCGCAACATAAATACGGGAATGTAAAATCTCAAATCGCAACATAAATACGGGAATGTAAAATCTCAAATCGCAACATAAATACGAGAATGTAAAATCTCAAATCGCAACATAAATACGAGAATGTAAAATCTCAAATCGCAACATAAATACGGGGATGTAAAATCTCAAATCTCAACATAAATACGGGAATGTAAAATCTCAAATCGTAACATATATACGAGAATGTAAAATCTCAAATCGCAACATAAATACGGGAATGTAAAATCGCAAATCGCAACATAAATACGAGAATGTAAAATTTACAAAGAAGAAGATGAAACCAATTTAAACAATATTAAAATACAAATAATACAACAAAAAGTCATAGACTAACAAAGATTTTAAACTTTTGCAAATCATGTATTTCACCCCTTTTCTTGTCTTAAAAAAGTAATACAG